AATGAGTCAGGCGAGACGTGAGTGGTCACCATGAGTGAGGTGGCGAGGCGAGCGAGCTCCAAGACACAGCGCAGTCTTGTGATGGCGATGGTGGTGTGCAGCGGTGAGAGGAGAAGTGAGGAGCGCTGGAATGCGGTGGGCGCGTGAGGATTCAAGCCATGGCCAGTGATGCAGAGCTGCTGCCATGTGCGTGGATCGGTGTGTCGAGCCGCCGTCGACGGGTGGCACCACGTGGCGGGCAAGCCCACAGCGTGGTCGGGCGTGGATGGCTGGCTGCAGTGTGTGTGGAGAAGGAACAGCATTGTGGGCTGAGGCGAGGCGAGGCGTGAGGCGGGGCTCATTTGGGCGGCTCGGCCGTGGGCGAGAAGTGGTAGTGACCCATGAAGGAGGAAAAAGCCTTTTTCATTTGTATTTTCAAGGAATTTTAAATGCCATCTTTCAAATATTATTTTGAGCAAGAAAATGACATCTTTTGAAAATGTACCAAAAATGAAAGTTGCTTAGAATTTAATTTTCTACAACTTTGCCTTTATGACCACAGCCAAATTCTTTCTAGATTTTGAATTGCAAGGTCAAAGTCCACGTTTAACTCAAAACCCTAATTTTTGGGAATTTATTTTTGAAGCCAAATTTTGAATTCATTTGACTACAAACTTTGCTCCAAAAATTGAACTAAACATTGCTAGATGATTTACAATAGTAGCCAAACATGTTTCACTAACCTAGCAAGCAAAATCAGGACAGAACAACTCTTAAACAGGTGTATGCAACATTCAGGTTTCACACATGTTTTTAAATGTTTCGAAGCAGTGTTTCAATTGTTATTTACATGATTAGGCATGTATGATTAGGATGCTTGATGATGCATGATATGTATGATTAGCAGTGCCTAAATGTAGGCATAACACCGGGGTGTTACAGCGGCTTTGCCCACTCGCTCGTGGCCGTCCGTCTCCATCCGACGGCTGCCCGCGCGCATCGCAGGATCAAAACCCCGGCGACCGTCGCGGCGCCCTTGACCTAGCGCCATTCGACCTTCGCTCTCTCTCTCTCTTCGCCTCACTGCTCTCTCCTCTCCACTCAGTCCCGCCGCAGCAGACACCGAGCTAGGAGCTTAGACGGCGAGAGCGAGCAGCGAGCCCGGCGCCATCTCCGGCCCCCTCGCCGGCGTGCGCGCTCCCCAGCGGGTGAGCGCGCCGCCGTCTAGCGGCCTAGCCGCGGTGCCCTAGTGGCCGTTTCGGCGAGCAGTTCACCCCCGACCGGCCCTTTCTTTTCCCCGCGCGCCGGCGTGCTCGACGGCGAGGTGAGCCGAGCCACCCTCTTCCCCTTCTTTCCCCTTTCGGTTTCTTTGATTCGGATTTTGCACGATTTCCCGATTAGGGTTAGGGTTGGGGACGACACTGTTTTTCTTTTTCCCCAAATCGCCTTCGGGTTTTAGGGTTCGATCTTTGCATGAAAACCGAGCCCTTCTTCTTCTTTAACCTCATTAGGGTTAGGGTTCATCCGAACCATATCTTTTCTCAGATCCGACGGATCGAGTTTAGGGTTCAACTGAACGTCGGCCGACCCTTTTCTGCTTAGATCCGCACTAGATCTAATCAACTTTTCCTTTTCTAATCGGTACCCGTTCTAGATCAAACCCTATAATCCAAGATCTATACTTAAACCTTGGCTCTGGTACCATTGTTTGCGCGGTGGATCAACTAAGGTAGATCTAGGCGGATGACACTTGGATCCGTAATAGCACATGCATATCTAAACCTAGAACACTACACCGAGAGGGAGATAGGGTAAGGGTGCTGGTGTTGAACCTGAGCCCTCGGAGGAAGTCGCGGTTGAGCTGGCCATCTCAGCTTCGGTGATGGAGGCAGCACACGGGCAGCGACGGGTGGAGTAGAGGTTGCACGGACGTCGATGCAGTGCAGACGGACGGCGTAGCAGTGACGACGGCGAAGTCAGCGGAGCTTCCCGTCGCTGGCTGCGCGTCCTCTTAGATCGGTCTAGGGTTTGTAGGTGGGGTTTGCGGCTCACGGTGAACCTCGTACCTCGAGCCGTCGGTCCCCACCTCTATATATAGCGCAGTGCGACGGGGGCCCACCAACCATGTAGGGTTGGGCGCCCCCGATCAGAGCGCGTGACCAAGGCCCAATAGGCCGTTGGGCTTATTGGTTGGGAGATCACTCTAACAGCTCGGGTTCCAGCGCACGCCTGCCGAGGTGCTCCGCATCCTCTACGCCTCGCGCAACGAGCAGATCCCCGGTGGGTTCCTCCCCAGGGGAGCCAATGGCACTATCGCCAGAGGCTTCTTCCAGCTCGCATAGATTCAGCAAAAATTCTATAACATCATATAGTGTTGTATCTTGGAGACAAGACAAGCTGATAGTAGTTCCAACTTACAAGTTCCAAGAACTGTGATTTACCTATGGTATAAAAAAACCATAATTCTTTTGAAACCTTCTTGCTTGAGAAGTGTAAAATTTGGAGCGGCTTGTTGATGACTTGACACTGAACACATTGCCCATACATACGCGTCGGCGTCCTCGACGTCGACGTCGATGAAGTCCACCTCCCAACTGTCTGGGCCTCTGGGGAACGAACGCCATTAGTACACCGATTAGAGGGCCATGGGCCAGTATTAGGAATAGCACAGTGAGTTTGTCTTTAGGCCTGCGTGCCCGTTTCATATTGGGCCGAGCCCAAGTGTGTGTTGGCCCAAGACTTTTACTTTGGGTCATGCCAGCAAAACCCGGCGGCCAACCTCGTATTGAACCTCCTGCTTCAAGGACAGTGTCCCCACCGACTCATCCACCAGGTGTTCGATGCATGGCCCCAACCACTTCACTGCCACGCTGACCACGTCAGCAAGCAGTCCTACTGCAACGTCGGCTCAGTACACACAGCTGACTTCCCACTGGACATCAACAATGGTTGCTCGCTCGACCACGTGCAGCGCAGGTACATGGTCATCGTTACCCCTGCTCACTTTGTGGTGTTTTGCCAGGTCTTGCCACCGTTGCACATGATGCTCATAAAGTCTTGCCTGACACAGGACCATGGACAGTTGAACTTGGACACCACATGTGCCATTTGTGATCAAGGGCGATGGATTCTCGGGCCAATTCCTTGCCCATCTTTCTGCAGTTATGCAACTGCTGCGCACTTGAAGTCTTGAAGAAATCACTGCCAGTGATGCTTGTTGTTTCCATAACAGAATTACTGGTACAGACATTGTGGTGCTGCCGTGTTGAAGTGCAGTGCAAGGTTCCCTGGCTACCTCCTGTTCAAACATCTCAAGGTTCTGCACATACAAAAGGTGGTGGACACACATGGTATGGTGGTTATTTACAAAAGTTTGGCAAGAAGTGATGGACCAGTCTTTGAATTTCAGAAATGTGGTGAGGCATGTAGCGCTGCATTGCATTGCACATGGTCACAATATTTTTTTTTCAGCAGTACTCACAAAATATCTTTGGGTTGTGGTGCTTCCATATTGGTGTTGTGTGAATCTAACAAAATCTCTGCTATCATACTTCTTCACAGGTACAAGATGCTTTGCAGTTAAGTGCTGTTGGTTTTCATCAACTGCAATATATGTGTGCAAATTACTGGATTACATTTATTCTCTCACGTGCCGAAGGCATTGACGGATCGCTCTTTTCTCCACTCTGGTTGCTGATTCATTCCTGGATTTCACATATTTCTTGGTCATGCTGCTGCCAGGCGAACAACTCCCAGATTCATTGAAATCTATATAGAGGGATGCATAAAGCTCTGAGCAGGCATTCATTCCAGTACTTCAAAGTCAGATAACCATATGGAGTTCTGGCCTTCTTCTGTACCCTTTTAACCAAACTGTTGAATGGTGGGCTCCGCCATCCATTGATCTATCAGCAGTCCGCTCTTGCATTTCTTGCTGCTGTGCAATGCAAACTGTACTGAAGTTGCAGTTCTGAACTGCAGCTGTAAAGCTCAAGTTATTGTTCAATGTAGTCCAATGCATACCTAAATATGTTGGATTGATGTTTCTCAAGTTTAAGATCTGAATACATCTTATGAGACTATGTTAATTTGTATGTCAATTGATCTTAACCGCAGATATCTCAGGGACCATAATTGCTATTAGGAGAACATAAGCTCGAACTCAGGAGTGCAGAAGAAAGAAAATATGGAAACCATTTTTTCAGTTATTTATGTCAACTGGAGCCACCAAATTTTCCCATATGCTACCGAATTATACTTCTCTACCTGTGCTCTTCAATTCCATACTTTAGTTGTGTGAATTAAGTTATAGTAGCTTACAAAGTGACATTTTAGTGACAGTAGGAAGGATCTCTGTTTTATATGTGCGGTAGGTACTTCTGAGCCCAAGGCTTCAGCACATATAATTTTCTTGCAATGGATTTCTTATCTTACAATAAGTTTCTCATTTTACATTTTATATGTACTTAAGATTCTTGCATAATGATCTGATGTCAAATATGTTCATGAATCTCTCATAGTATTGAATTTTACTGATTTTCTTTTGTGTTGAAGTAAGTTCCTTGCAATAAGTTTCTCGTTGTATCAAATTTTCCTGATTTTTTATTGACTTTTATTAAACAATCTTTTGTGGTATATCCAGGAGTTCCGTTCCTTTGCCCAAACAGCAACACAGGGATTCACAACCCAGGGAAACAAGGGGGTTTCCACTTTCCACGTGCCTTCCAAGCTACTGTAGGCATTTTGAGCTACGGCAAAAAAGTTTCAATCCAAAGGCAAAAACCAACACCACTCTTACTACGCAGACAAGACAAGTCCAGGTGAATGAAAAATTAATCAGAAGCACACAACTGAAAGAGCTAACACTGAGAAGCTACAATCTAGCCTGCTGCAATCACACGGGAAGCACACACACCCCACACAACAATGGACACATACATCATAGTAAGATTCAGAGTGGACTCATGCTGGCACCATCTTCTTTTGTTCTTCAGTCAGAAGAAAGCAGCTTCAGCTGACCGTTAACTAGTGAATCGCTGGGATGACTCCTGTTGCCTGAGATGGCGGGTCAGGATGCCTGCATGAGAGAGAAGCGCCCAGATGTGGGTTATGAACTCTCCACCATTAGCGAGCCGCTGGACGTGCCCTCTTACATTGTCAGATGGTGCAACGTAGAGGATAATCTCTGCCCAGAACTCGGCTAGCACCTTCCAACGGATCTCCTCGTTATCTATGTGGTCCTCCAGCTCCTTCCCAAGCTTCAGTCCTCTGAAGAATATAGTGTCATTGTGATCCTCCTGGTCTGATGGTCTTGAGCGGTTGAGAGCCTCTGTCAGCATGTCTCTGTTTGCTATTGTACGCTTGCGAATATCCTCCTCCTGCCCTTGGTACAGAACCACTGTTGCTTCTTGCATCACCTTGTCAAATGTGAAGCTCGTATCTGTAGGGTTACCAGGGAGCAGTTCCGGGACAGAGGCCATGAGGTATGCAGAGTACCTGGATAAGGTGGTGGCAACCTCGCGGTAGTGCCTGAGTGTACCATGGCTAGAGATCTCCGCTGCAGGAGTTAGCCCAGTTTCACAGTAGTTGGTCGCGATGTGCCATATCAGCATGGTGTCTGTTAGGTCCCAGTCATCCCTTCTCAGTGTCTCCTTGAATGGGATGATGAACAGTTCATTCCGCCGCAACGATGCTTCTCCGTTTGTTAGATGACCAGTGGCGGCAATGGACTTGAGGGATGAAGCAATCTCACGCTTCACGGTATCAGGCAGCTTCACATCCTGCACAATGCTACGGCAGTACTGGCATGTCCAAATCTTCCTTGGAATTTCAGTGAGTAGCCTATAAATCTTGGCAACAATGAAGAAGAGAAGCACATCTACTTTGAGTAGCGCCCCTTGTGGCGGGGAAGGTTTATGCCTACGGCTGCCTTCAATTACTGAGTACTGGCCTATCTTGTCTTGCCAACACTTGAATAAACTTCGCTTTATAAGCATACATATCGGCTTACGGAGAAGGGAGCACATAGCTTGGCTTGTTCTTTTTCTCACATGGTAGCATGCCATTGATACCAAGGACCAGTCTGATGCCAAATACAGCATGGCTTGCAATACCTCCACAATGAGTAGTGCCCCCAGACTGGCAAATGTGATAATGGTATCAGCTTTTGTGGTCCCCACTGGTATGATCTTGCTCTGTGTCTTGAGACTTAAGAAGTTCTGGTGCACAAATACTCCAAGGATGGGGATTAGTATGGCCTTCATGATGAACTGAACGAAGAAGACAATCTCGTTCTCGAAGACACATGCATACTTGGTGAAGAAGAAATCGTGCATGAAGGCCAGCTCTACCTCAATGATCCTGAATGCTCTCTTGCCATCCTCTGACGCCAGGAGCCCATTGAGTACGAAGTCGCGCGTCTTCTGGAGACCGGCCTCATAGCAGCTGATCCCAAAGTACCGACGCTTGAGCAGGTGAAACAAGGCAAATGAGAGGCACACATCTTTCGACTGCGAGCCGCCGCTTGGATCGAAGGGCAGCATATCACTGCACTTCTCCCAGATCATGTCGACGGTGATGATATCCTCCTCAGATAGCTTAGTTCTGTAACCATGGCCTGTGGCACCGTAAGTGTTGAGGAAGTAGCCATACCACCGAACAAGGTACCTGCCGCCTTCCATCCTGATAGGGTCAGACTCAGACTCGGACCTGGTCCTGGACCCCTGCAGCAGCTGAGACTCAGACCGAGAGCCTCCCGAATCAACATGCAGGTCCCTCATGTAGTCGGCGACTACTTTGCTGGGATCAGAGGAGGTAGCCATCCAGCAGGCGACGACTCTGAACAGATTATTGTATATGATGACGGAGATAAGGATGAGGCAATACTGGTAAATAGGATCATTGAGGACAGAAATGCGGCTAGGACGGAGCAGCAGAAAGATGAGGTCAGAGTAGACGGACTGCTGACCCAGCTCAAAGAGTTGCTTCTTCCACTGCTTGGTCTCGTCAAGATCATAGGCAGTGACGGAGTTGGTGCACCCGGAAGCTAGGGACAAGGCGATGGCCCAGGCGGGGTACAGCTGGCTCTTCGCCGAAGACGACTGCACAGGCCGAATGTGTAGGTGACAAGGGGGAAGGTGAGTGTGTAAGCCAGCCACACAGATCCTTGGATCCACATGCTGCTTGACCGCCGCCTGCAGAACCCAAAGATGAGCTGCAAAACCAACAGGGTGGTTGCTGCTGCCACGAAGGCTTCGACTTCGAGTATTGTTCTCCTTGGGCTTGGACCCGGTGCCGGTGCCGGTGCCGGTGCCGGTGCTGGTGCCGCCGCCGCCGTGGCTAGTTGTGCCATGCTTGCTTCTCGCTGCTCTTCTCCGCTCAATCAGGCTACAGGCATTTGCTGGAATCAATGTCTAAATTTGGATCGGAGCACAGAAACAAAAGTCACTACAGATGGTCGGTGTATGTTTGTGGTCTGGAGTAGCTGGTTGGTCCTTCTTCCAGGATGTAAGCATATCATCCTTCCAAGTAAGGTATCCGACACCCAACCTCGTGGCTGCTGAATTTATCAAAAAGAACAAAAAAAAGACCTCGTGGTTGATGAAAGCACAAAGCATCTAATCAAAGTAGAAAAACTGAAGGACCGCTACCTGTGACTCTGTGAGAGGAGATATGTTCTACACTTTAGTAAAAGAAAATGTCGTCAAGCACTACTACTTTCTTTAATCCAGTTTACCTTGCCCTTTGTTACACCACATGCTCACATGCGTGGAAGGAAAAGATCCGGTTCAATGAAAAATAAACAATCGTGATGGTTAAGCACACACAAGTGGCCACATTTATACCGAGGTTTATATATATAAAACTGACACGAATAATTAGAATATCCGTGCCAACCTCACATCATTATGAAACCAACAGAGATATTAGCATGTCCCTGCAGTATGATGTCTTGCTTGAATGTCAGTATGAAAGAATTCAGGCTAGGATTTCTGCGATCCACAGCATTACTGTGCCACATTGTTAAAATTTGATCATGCATATAACTTTCCTAAATCAATGTAACCTACGGAGTATCCAGCAGCTTATATGGCAAAGCACACCCTTATTTATATGATTATATCCCTTTTTTTTGTAACGGAAATGCTTGCAGGCGGGCGTTCCATACACACGGTTGTGTCGTTATGGCTTTACTTTTTTTTTTCTCCTGTATAGTTTTGGTGGCCTCTTTCTTCTCTTTGAATTCTTGTGCCGTGAGTCACTTTCTGCTTTCTGGATTTTTGTGCCGTGAGCCACGGTAGATATTCAGCTCTTTTCTTAATCTCACTAGACTAAGATACATTACTTATTGTTAAGTGCTGGAACCTATTTTTACTGATCACGTACCAAGTAAGATGCTTGCACTCGTGCATATAAAAAGAAACATTGTGATGCCTACCACAAACTTGTTAAGACATTCCATTAGTAGAGTGGTAATGCTACACGAGCATAGCAAAGCATGGATTTGTGTTGTGCCCAGCACAAGTATATATTGATAATGTCCTGTACTCCAATAGGAAAATTAAAGGCATTTTAGATTTGTTCTGGGTCAAAAAAATTCTTAATGTGGCCATAAATATTTAACATTTTATACATATTAACCTCACAATTAAATCATTATGAGCAATACTTTCTAAATATATAGTTCATTTATGTAGGATAACATAATTTTAGTGATCTTTCTAGTCAAAGATACAAAACTTTAATATATAATATTAGGATTCGGGTGTCCGTTGGCCTGCCCCTATAAAAAACCTATCCATTCATTGTCCCTCATTTACTTACCACTGGTTGTCTTTCTTCCACTTCTCCATACTTTCTCCTATACTGCTCTAGCCCCAAAATCATGGAGGCTCTAGGGACGCAGTGCATCGCTGCATGTTTGCCGCCACCACACGCACGATTTCTAGTTTCTTGTGCAGTATCTCTCTGCACCAGTCTTCCCTCCCAGTGGAAGAGCTTGAACTTTCTCTAACTCTTCCTATATCTAAAAGATAGGTGTTATCCGGCGAACCTCTATCTAGTTGTGGCGATTCCTCATCACCAAGGAGTCATTAGAGGCATACGATGAGCACGGCAAGAGGAGGGGAAACAGGGGACAGTGACCACACGTGACGCAGAAAGGTCTACAAGAAGTGTGCAGATTCTATGGTATGCATATTGCAAATATATTTTAGAACTTGTTTTGACCACATTTTCTATGTTGCGGGAGCTTTTTTGCCTTGTACTATTTTCAAGAAATATACAATGTTGCAACAAGTTTATCGATTGCGTGTGAGTATTGTGTCAACGCTTGCACTATTGAATTAATTATTTTTATTTATTTTGGTAATTATTACCATTTGTTTTAATAAGTGTAGTTCTATTTTTCTTATTTGTTCATGTATGTTCATATATCTACAAAATACATTGTTTCTTCCCGTTGCAATATTTGATATTGTAATGCTTCAATTGGTGAATTTGAGTGTTTAAAATAGATGATTTCTCACGTTACAGTACAACAAAGTCGAATGTTGCAAAGAAGGGCTTTAACTTGGATGCTTTTCGCAATCGGGCCATTCACCCGTTTTTCATTAAGAGAAAAACAGTTAACAGTACAACCGCGCGTGCTCACGCAAGCGAGGAGCCTTCGTGACACAACGCGCACCTTGCCACCTAGCTACTGGATTCACTAAGAGAAATTACATAGGAAATGTGCTTTGCGACCAAATCGGCAAGACAAAAGCGAGCGACTATGTCTGCTGGTTCTTGCCCGGGAAAAGAACCTGCATGGCTTCCCGCGTCGACGCTGACAAGGGGAGGGCGAAGGCGGTTTGGAATTCCTCAAAGGAGGTTTTGTCAGGTAGCTCAGTCTCCACCTCCTCGAGCCCCAGACGTTTCATCATCACCTTCCACGCCTGAGCCTCCAGCTTCTGTTCCCTATGCCTGCTCTTGGCGGCAAGCCTAGCGCTCCTCTTGGGGATGAGCTCCGAGTCGTCCAGCTCCCCCGCCCGCGTTCTGGCCACCCGGGTTAGCCGTAGTCGTGGAGGCGACGACAAGACAGGCATCGTGAGCGGCTTCTTGAATGCAGCGATGAAGTCCTTGGTCGACGTCATAGCCGTCGCGTCAGGCGCTGTGCCAACAGCAGCCGGAATGGCAGGGCCGCCTCCGTCTGCCCCTTCCTGGATGGAGGGGAAGTCGACCTGGACCGGGGGTGGGGATCCCCCAGTCTGCTCCGGCTCCAAGAGTGAGGGCCTTGGTGAGGTTTGGCCCGAGCCGCACTCATCTGGGCCTGAAAGGCACAGGTCCACCGCCTGGGCCACCTCCGACACGGCCTGGCTCGTGAGACCAGCCTGAGGTGGTCCTTTGGCCAGGCATGCCTCCACCTCAACCAACATGGGATCGAAATCACCACGCTAAACCTCCAAGCAACGGTCCACTGCGAGCTGAAGCTCAGGGTGCACCGCTTGCCCACCTTCCTGCATAGCCATGCTAGGGTGGCCGTCCTGCTTACACTATATTCTATTATGGAGATTGTATCATCTTTCATGTTGTTATGACAAAATTAATGTGAGGACTTTAGTTTTATGGTAAGAGTTTTTTTTTGATGTCTCATTCTCCCCCCCCCCTCTCTCATGTTGGTGGCACCATGCAAAGGCAATGGCCGTGTGTGGTGGTGCTGCAACAACCATTGGTGTAGTGTTTTGCTTTGTGACGTAGGGAAGGACCCAAGGAGTGACTAGGCCATGTTGAAGTGGTTACGTTGACGATCCATCATCTGTACTCCCTCTGTCCAAAAAAATAAGACATTCTCACTTCTCAAAAAGTCAACTTTTTTTTTAAACTTTGACCAATTATATATAAAAGAATTATTTATAATATACAGTTAGTATCATTACATAGATCGTTGAATATACTTTCATAATAAACTTATTTTAAGATATAAATGTTGCACGTATTTTCTACAAATCTAGTCAAAGTTAAGAAAATTTAACCTCATATAACGTCTTCCTTTCTGGGATGGAGCAAGTATGCTATCGATCAAAATAAATATCTGGGAGCTAGCAATGTTGTGTATGCTATGCTTTTTACGGAGTCTTCAGTTGGGAACAAGATGGACCTTACATTTGAGCCCATATGTGTTTGTGTTATCATTTACATTTTTTCCTTTTCTCCTTTTCAATTACTTATGTTCCTTTCATATTTCACAATATTTTAATTTTTGTCTTCTACTTTTTTTTTCATGCTACGATGCTAGGAAGCTTGTTGCGGGCTCCTTCTTCTATGGCAGGAAAGGAGCATTGTTGATTTTGCCAGACCATCTCATTAGTCACAGTGTAGTTAATCTAGTCATGTCAGGATCTTGTTACGTGTACGATACATGTGAATGTAAAGTATGGCAAGAAAATGAGTTTTATGGGAACCAAGGTGTCGGTGTTTTTGATCACCGACGAGTAAATTTATATTTGCGCGTCTGACTCGGATGGTATGCTCGGAGAACACAAGAGTTTATACTGGTTCGGGCGGAACGTCCCTACGTCTAGTTTGCTGCTGCTTGTGTTACTGACACTTGGTTTGCAGTAGGGGTTACAAACAGACGAGAGAGGGAAAGGATCCCAAGTCTCTGGTGAAAGGAGTGAACGGGTGCTGAGAGCTCGATCGCTGCTCAGCCGTGTGCTCGTATCGTGCTCTTGTGATTTTATCTCATGGTTCGGTCTCGTGCGGATCTGGATCCCCCTTCATGGGGCGCCCTGCTTCCCCTTTTATAAGCGAAGGGAAAGTGCGGGTTACAGCGGAGGAAAAGGAGAAGAACGAGAGAGAAGAAGGCTTCCAAGATCGTCGGGTCATTCTCCTTCATGGGGTCCCGCCGATCCTATAGATGTCAACAGGGATGGCTCCACGTCGTGGCCCTGTTCGTCACTAGCGCCATGCGCAGGCGTCATCTACCGGTCATGGCGTTTTATTCTGTCCCAGCGGACGTCGTGGTGAACTGACGCGCCTGTCAGCATTCGTACAAGGGTTAGGCAGAACAGCACCGGCACACCCGATGCTGTTCTTGATGTGAATCCTCAGGTGGCCACGGATTACATTGACTCGTGCTAGTCTCTTCCCTGGTGTCAGAGTTTTGACCTAGGCCCATACGCTTGGACCTAGGGTGGTTGGCGGCGCTATGGGTCCCCCTCGGGCGAGACGGAGCCCGCGGCCTTGGGGTCGGGTGAGACGGAGTATGAACCCAAGGGGTCGGGCGAGACGGAGCATGAACCCAAGGGCTCGGGCGAGACGGAGCCCACGGCCTTAGGGTCGGGCGAGACGGGCACGAACCCAAGGGGTCGGGCGAGACGGAACACAAACCCAAGGGGTCAGGCGAGACCTTTTAATACGTCTTGCTCCATTCGAGGAAGTCAGCGTGGACGCTAACTTTCTTGCTTTGGGTATCCCTACTATCGATACTCGACAGTATCCGCCGAGCCTATGGAGGAGTAGAATACTCCTTTGGAGGCTTTTCCGGACGGGAGGACTCTGAGGGCGTTGGCCTTCTTTTTGTAGCCCATGACGTGTCCTAGTGGGGCGGTGGTTCCCTTTTGTCGCGATCGGTCTTCTTGGGGGCACATAACCATAGGACTTGGGAGTTCGAAAAGATTTTTCTTGATTCCGGTTCCCTTGGATCCGATTGGTCCGCCGTCGTACTGCGACCGAGCATTAGGTCTCCTTGCGAGTCCAACTTTCCTCGAGCCCCCGCGCGTAGCAGGGGTCCGGTCGAGGGTCGACTTGTTTTTGTGATGGACGAAATATGGTGCTCAGCGAGCTGTTTAACGGGCTAGTCCGAGTGGGTCCCCAACTTCCCATTCATGGGGGTCCAGCATGGGTCAGTTGGTGACTGACTCCAGACTCTTGGTGGTCAGTCGATATAGTTCTTGGGTTCGTTTGGCCAGTCCCAAGGGCTCGTTGCCTTTCTTTGAGGAAAAACCGTGGACTGGGAACCAACCAAGACTCAAACGTGGGCCAGGATGCCCGCAGCGCTCGTGCGCCCGGGTACTGGCTGCTAGTGGGCCCATCCCTTTCCACCCCTCTCTCTAAGGGTGCCCCGAAGCAGCTATGAACCCGTCAATGGGAGGCCAGCCTTCGAATTCCTGGTCCTGAATGGGTCGTAGGAGCATTTTCAGCTCTGGATCCCTTCTTACCTACGGCGGTTATTGGTCCATTGAATGGGCGAACCGTTATCTGGCGCATCCTTCGAGGGCGTGGCTAGAGATAGCGTGCGCGCGATCTTCGGAGGGAGGTGACATGACATGGTGCAGCGGGCATGTGAATCTAGGCGGACAGTTCGCCTTCTCATCTCGCTCCGCCATATAAATAGCGGCTCCCCCTTCACGTTCCTGCACACCAAAACTATAGCCTTACCTTCTCTGTTTCTCCACCGCCGCCGTTCGGATTTGTCGTGCTTGCTAATCCACCGCCGGAGCCCTAGATCCGTAGCTTCTGCTCCTCTGCCGCCGCCTTTGCTTCTCCGTAGCCACCACCATCCTCCATGGATTTGTGGTATCACTCTGATGTTACCTATGTGCGCCTGGAGGGCCTCGTCAAGCATGGTCTTCTCTGTGGGAGGACCGACGCAGCGGAGTGGCTTGTGCCCAGCTGCGAGGATGCGCTAGCGCCGCCCGATGGCTACGTCATCTCCTTCACGCTCTTCCATGAGCGTGGACTCGAGGTTCCTCCTCACCCATTCTTCTGAGGTCTGCTGCACCACTATCAGATTGAGTTGCAACAATTGAACCCCAACGGGATCCAGCACATCGCGGCCTTCATCGTGATGTGCGAGGGGTACCTGGGGGTCTGAAAGGTCCTAATATGGCTAGAGGGGGGGGTGAATAGCCTATTTAGAATTCTACAAGTCAACTAGAGCAATTTGATTAGTATGACAAATAGCGTAATGCAAACTTGCTCTAGCTCTACAAAGGTTGCAAGCCACCTATCCAACAATTCTAGTTGCAATGATTACTTAGGCACCCAAACTTGCTATGTGACTACTCACTAAGAGCTCTCAAACTTGCTACTCTAAAGAGCTCAACTTGATGAATATAAATAATAAAGCAAGCTCTCAATTCTAATTACACTAAAGAGCTTGTATCAACTAGTTTGCAAGAATGTAAATGAATGAGTAGGGTGATTATACCGCTGTGTAGGGAATGAACCAATCACAAGATGAAGATTAAGCCAATCACCGGGAGAATGCAAATGACAAGAGACAACCGATTTTTCTCCCGAGGTTCACGTGCTTGCCAACACGCTAGTCTCCATTGTGTCGACCAACACTTGGTGGTTCAGCGGCTAAGAGGTGTTTCACAAACCTCGTCCACACGATAGGACACCGCAAGAACCGACCCACAAGTGAGGTAACTCAATGACACGAGCAATTTACTAGAGTTACCTTTCGACTATTTGGGAAGGTACAACTCCCCTCACAATCACCGGAGGCGCCACGAACAATCACCAACTCGTGCCGATCCTTCACCGCTGCTCCAACCGTCTCAGGTGGTGGCAACCACCAAGAGAAACAAGTTTAAATCAGAACAAGAACACGAATACCAAGTGCCTCTAGATGTAATCACTCAAGCAATGCACTTGGATTCTCTCCCAATCTCACAATGATGAGGGATCAATGATGGAGATGAGTGGGAGAGCTTTGGCTAAGCTCACAAGGTTGCTATGTCAATGAAAATGTGCAAGAATTAGCCCGTGAGCCGGCCATGGGGCTATAAATAGAGCCCCAATCAAATAGAGCCGTTATACCCCTTCACTGGGCAAAACACGCTCTGACCGGACGCTCCGGTCAAACTGACCGGACGCTGGCCCTCAGCGTCCGGTCGCCCGATGGACGCCACGTCACCAGCTTCAAACGCTGTTCGCCGATTTCAACGGCTCTGAAGTTGACCGGACGTTTCCGAAAAACCGACCGGACGTTGAAGCCCCCCCAGTCGTCGGGTCGTTTCGAGAAGCTCCTCGTCGTATTTCTTCGACCGGACGCGTCCGTCCACTTTTGACCGGACATGACCGGCGTCCGGTGCTCAACCCTAGCCCATGTGCCGTCTAACAAGACGACCGGACGCAGACTTTTCAGCTGCTCGGTCATTGAGTGACTCAAAGCGTCCGGTCGATGAGACCGATGCCAGCATCATTTCGACCAACTCCATTTCAACTCTAACTTCTTCACCCTTGCTCAAATGTGCCAACCACCAAGAATTTGCATTCGGTGCAATAGAAAATAGGCATTCCATTTTCCCGAAAGCGCCGAATCCCGCCGAGCTAGCTCGGTGGGAGGGAGAGAGGGACCCAAACCCATGTCAACACTGCAAACACCACCTCCTTTGTAAATGTGCCAACACCACCAAGTGTATCA